ATCATAGGCTAAGAATATGGACTAGGCCATCGACTGACTGTGCAATTCAGCCATCGATCGACATACGTTCTAAACCAGAGATGTACACCAAAGATGAGATCGATGAGATGGTATTTGGAATCTGTGGAGCCCAGAACAGATCGGAAGAAAAACTTAAGACCTTGATAGATGATGCTTATCACCCCTTGGACAAAAGCATAAATTGGCTACACACGTTCATGAAGAAGATGCGAGTTGAATTGGATACACTGCAGACACAGAATGCAGAGGAAGCAAAATCATCTGCATCGATCGACGCCACCAATGCATCATCACTCGACGCTAGACACCTACCATCAGGCACGTCTGCAGAAGATGACATGTTGGCAGGAAAGGTAAACCAATGGGAAGAAGCACACTTAAACACAAAGATTGGAGAAGTTTACCCTCCTCTGAGCAATGATGTCCACTGGTTAAGAAAGAAGATTGAGTTGATGCATATTGACTTGGATATGCTCCGCGAGAAGGAAAAGGTTCGAAATATGGATTCGCATCGATCGATAAGCCCCACGCCCAACCGATCGACACTAAGAGTGCACCAGCTCGGCTACTCTACTAAAGCAGAAGTCGATGAGGTCATAGATAGAGTCTATGAAGCTCTGGGCACCACTGAGGACAGATTTGACAAGAGATACGACGATATATATTTCCCCTTCCACAACAGCATCAGTGGATAACGTTCAGAATCATTTTGGCTACAGAAGGAGGTAAAAGAAATTCAGAGACGGCTTGCATATCATCTTTCACCATCAGCATCGATCGTCATGAACACCAGTAAGACGATTGACAAGCTTACACCAGCAGCGATCGATGCAGAATTAGTCTCATCGATCGATACCAAGATTACGCCAGACCGCGAAAAGCAGTTACAGAATAAGCTGCCCGCGATTGATTCAATGCAAGAGGAACTGAAGGAACTATCAGTATATGCTTTCGATAAGATTGAAAGTCACCGTTTCAGCATTGAAACCCTTCTGGAAAGGCTACAAAACATCTCAGATGTTTTAGTCAAGATGGATGATAGATGGACCAGAAGTGATGAAGCCACAAGAAGTTTCATGGCTACTTCTTGTCAATAGTTTGGTTGTCAAACATCTATATTTTGACATGCTGCATTACGCAGATGACCTTCCTGGTCATGCAGGTTTCCATTCTCATCATGTCTGAGAATCAAAGTCGCGACCATATCTCTCGTTTTAGCCATTGAAAATATTACATATAGTGAATACAACAATAGCTAAAAAGCTATATGAATTATATTAATAGAATACTAACTCTAGTCTCGTATTAAAAAAAAAGGTTATTGTTTTCATTTATCTATTATAATAAAAGTTTTCCTTGATTAATATTATTTTAAGGAATTACCATATTATTTTCTGTTTTTAAATATAAAAATATTTTACTTTTATAAAAAAATGATAAGTAAACTATAATATCACATTGTCATTGAATAATAATTGAATTTTTTTAAATTCTATATTTGATTGTTGCATTCATCTGACACATTTTTAGAATATATATATATATATATATATAAATATATATATATATATATATTATTATTTTTATATTAATTATTTAATGCAATCTATAATTATGTAGATATGTGATGTTAATTCATCTATATTTAAGTTGTTTAATTGTTTGTTTGGTAACATAGATTAAAGTAGGTAATTCTATGATTAGTTTCTGTTTTAAAATTTTTAATTAAATAAATGAAAATTCAAATACTAACAACCAATTAATTTAAGAAAATTAATTATAAATTTTACCTATGAGTGCAACTAAGTAAAGGTAACTTAAGTAACTTTTCAATTAATATCTATGTGATAAATTTAAATATAAAAAATACTCTAATCGTTTTTAAAAGTGATAACTCAACTATAATAGTACATTGTCACTAAAATGATTAGAATTTTTTAAAATAGTATGTCTGACTATTTTGCATTCATTTGACACATTTTATAATATATGTATAACACATTTTTATAATATATGTATATAGTGATTTTGAAATATTATTAGGTATATATTGATTAGGTTTCTGCAATGTATGATTTATTGTATCCACTATAACATAATATATTTAAAACCGTTTATATAATTATTGATGTAGTATCATATGTATTTATATGTATGTTATAAATTTATATACTGTAATCTATGATATAATTGTTTTCATAAATAAATTATGTTAATCTATTTATATTTCAGATGTTTGATTGATTGTTTGGTAAAATAGATTAAGGTAATTCTATGATTAGGCTCTTCTTAAAAATTTAATTAAAGAAATAAAAATTCAATCACCAACAACCAATGAAATTAAGAGAATTAACTCTAAAATTCACCTATGAATGCATTTAAGTAAAAATAAATAACGTGACTTCTCATTAATATATAGTGGGATAGTTTTGTATTATAGTGTTTTTTTTAAAAAACCGGTCAAACGTTCGTTTACATTTGAAAAAAAAATTCAATTTTCACAAGAAAGGTTGAGTTGACAATTGTAATAAGTAACAAACAGACATGCTTACAGGCTGAATCTGAAAGAATGAGCCTTTAAACAAACTCAGCTAAAAACAAACACTAAATATTGGTTTTAATTAGGCGTGTTCAATCCGGTAAACTCAAACTAACTAAAACTGAACCGAACCAAAATAGAGAAAATGGTCTTGATTTGTTTTGTACCGAACAAACTAAATGGATGTTATTTAAAAAAAAAACACACACACATTATATGGATATGGTTCGGTGTATAAACTGATCCAACCGAATAAATCAAAGAAACAGACTAATTAAAATATATTAATATATTTATATGAAAATTTTATAGTAAAATTAATAACATATACATAATTTATTTAATTAAATGATATTTATAATTAAAAAGATGATTTTAATAATTTGTTGTTTTGTTTTAAGTTAAAAAGGTTGTTTTGTTTTCTCATTTTTATCAACTTAAAAAAAAATATAATTTTTATTTTTATTGGTAAATAGGTGTGCTATAATATTTAATTGAAAAATATTATGATATTATAATTTTCTTTTATTTTATTTAAATATTTTAATAAGAAATAAATTTTATATATTTTAAAACTACAGTAAATAATACATATTGATGTTTTAATAGTGGTTTCTTATCATATAAACTAATTTATTATCAAAGATAAACTATAAATTGCTTAAAATACCGCAAATTAGGTAGCACTTTTCAAAATACTCTCAATCAAAATATTTGGAAAAATTAGTTCAGTCTTATTTCATCACAAATTTAGGGTATTTATGAAAATAATCATTCACTAATGGTAAATTTGAAAAGTAGTATCAAAACTGTGGTAAAATTTATGGGCGATTTTCTCAAGTATTTTTTTTTAAGTTTTTGTCACAAAAATAGATCTCAAAAATTAAAAGGACCAAAATATCATTTTTTTATTTTTGAAATTTTAAATTTTTTATTTCGGACAAGTCTAGCTTCGATGATTTATGTCATAAGTCATTTTTAAATTTATCATAGTGTTATATATGTAAAACTATGTATATTTCAACAACTGGTATTATACAATTACTGTTAACACATAAGTATGTAACTAATAAACCAGTTTTTCGTAATTTATAATGACTGTCTAATAATGTCAATTTTTTATATTCTTATATTATTTTTAATTACAAACTATAATTATATAAATTATTGTAATTTTTATAATATAATTTTAAGCTCACTCTGCAATTAGAGGGAATCTTATCCTAGTAGTCTCTAATATATCTTAACCTAAACCTAAGCCTAAGCCTATTTTATCGAAAAATCAAGCAAAAAAAAAGTAATTTAAACCCTCCTCTTTATACTATTCTCTAAGTTTTTCATCCTTGCTAATACTATACATGGATTCTGTAAACAGTACTTGGGATAAAACAGTCATATAGTGAATGGATTTTAGTTGAATAACCTAAATCTAAATACTAGTTTAGCAATATCAAATTTAAATTGCAATTTTGCAATAATTCAAAAAACGATACAGACAAGCAATATCTAAATATTGTAATTTAGATACTCTCAGTCTTGAGCTTTCTACTAGGGGTGGGAAGTAAACACAAGACCAAGGCTAGAATGTTAATAACTAAACCACCGAAAAGCTCGGATTCTCTATTTTTTTTCTCGATAAGAAGCATTAGGGTGAACACTTTACACGATACCCGAACTCATACCCGAAACCAACACAAAATATTAGAACCGAAATCGAAACCAAAATAACAAAATATACAAATGGATATTAAATTAGTAGAAATTGGATATCTAAATCCGAATAGGTAATATCCAAACCTAAATGGATATCAGAAGATAACTATATATATATATATATATATATATATATATATATATATATATATATTTTATTCATAGTTTATATGTCTCACTTTATTTAAAATATTTATATCAGTGTTGTATATATCTTAAAATCAGATAATATACATATAACTGTAAAAATGATTTGCTACTCATTTAAAATACAAGTTAAACTTCTTATTTTATATTTTAACAAAACTTGCATCCGAAATTTAAAAATAAAAATAGATTAATAATTTTCTGTTTTCAATAATTTATTTTCAAACTTATTACTTGTTTAACTTATTAAACATTTAAAAAACAAGTTAATAGTAAAATTTAGTACATGAAAGTTTAGTAACGAAAAACTTGGATTTTTTCTTTCAAAATCTAAATATTCGAATACGGTCCGAAATAAACGAACCCGAGCTAAAAATTTCTGAACCTAACTTATATGTAAATATATCCGAATGGGCATTAGATCCTAATATCAAAATACCCAAAAAACTGAAATACCTGATACGACCTTGAACGGATACCCAAATCCCATCCCCGAAGCATACATAAAAAAAATGTAAAATGGGCTTTCGAAATATACATCCCTAGCCCACTATGATCAAAGTTTTTGATATTATGCATTTACAGCTGCAATTTAGAAATCTCCAAATAGCTATTCTACCTAATAATAGCCACATTTTAAGTGGGTTCATCAATTCCCAATTTCCCAATCGATAAGCCCTAAAACGCTCCTTCTCTGGGAATCAAATCTTCATCTCTGAGTAATTCCGAGCTGATCTCTCTATTCTTCTGTCGGATAATGTCGTCTGTAGGAACATCGAAAGGGATTCTGGAGATCGCCAAGTTCGGTTTCTACGTCGCCGTTCCCATCGGCCTCATGTATACATTCGCCAACAACAGCACCAATATCAAGAAATTCATGGGCAATGTAATCTTCGCTCTCCCTCTCTCTCTCTCTCTCTATTCTATTAGGCATGTATTGATGGAGTTTGCTGAATACCTAGAAATGGTAACTCTAAGCTTGCTTTACGTCTTGTTTCTGGATTGTTATGTGGTTTAATCACTGCATCACAGGTGTTTAGTTACTAAATTTTCAGATATGTTATAATCTCCTTGAATGGTTAGTGGTTTTACATCATAATATCGGTTGCGGTGGATTGTTTTGGGGTCTGATCTCTGTAGAACAGTCTGCAATGATGGTTTTGTAGTGCAATGGAGGCATTTTCTTAAACTCAGTTTGGCTATTTTGTGTATATCACCTGTCGGGTCTGTTCTCTGTAGAGTAGTTTCCAATGATTAATTGTCTGCGCTTGAATCACTGATACTCAGACTTTCCAAGATCTTAGGAACATATATATGATCTGATTTTTTTCCGTAAGTTCTCATTGATTCTACATATCGGGGGTCTTGAGCTCTTTAGAATAGTTTACAGTGGCGATTTTTTAGTGCAATGGTGGCATTTTTTAACCCCCAAAAGTTTGACTATTTGTTGTGTACAGCGTTCATATGTTGTCTATCCTGAAGAAGCACCTCGACCTCCTTCACCCGAGGAGATGAGAGAGATGGCACGAGAGCTTGCCCGTAAGAAGAATCTTCCGTGAGAGTTGATGAGACAGGAATATACACAAAGTTTCATGTTACTGTGATAGTAAACTGCTCGGGGTAACAACTGATAATAATGTTATGTCATATTTATTTGATTCCTGAAGATTAAAATGAGGTGTACTACTAAAGCAATAATAAGGAAGGAGAGGCGTTTGTTCTGTTTAAACTTTAAACTTAAACGAACACATTGGTTACACATTTTGTGTTTATGCGCACATCATTGCTTCAAGTGTTTTGCTTTTTAAGTATTCATTAAATGCCAATGGGCTTTATTCGGATCTCTAAATTTGAGCTATAAAAGAATTCTAAAATATACTAATAATTTAGTTCTAATGATATTATTACCCAAAATTCATTGTTGTTGGTAGACTTTTCTTTTAGGTAAGTTCAATACTCTAATTTGGGTGGCAAAAAATATTTAAAATATTATTCTCATAGACACATTTTGAGTTTGTAATAACACAAAACGTCACTTCCCACTTACCACACACATTTACCTTGATAAATGCCCATTATAACTTTTTTATCATGTTTTTCTCTTGTTGCTTTTCTTGCTCTATCTCTAGTTACCTTTTCTTCTTTCTCTCTTTATCAGTTATAATTCAGAAATTATAAATACAAAATAAAGCTTTGAGAAAATAAAAAACCTTAACTCATATCTTTGGAATGAATCTCGACCATGAATTTCGGTAACAATCGGCAAACCAAACACAACATCGTTTTCTCCAAGTGAAAGATCCACTCTTTCTCGGTTTTGATCGTTGTCTATTACAATAAAAAATTTAAAATTTTAGAGTTTTTGCTCATCTTGTGTTACCCAGTCATCTTAACAAACATTACTTTCAATTATTTGTAGACAAATTTTTTTTATCTTCCATCGATGATCAAGATCTGAAAGACAAAGAAAAAATAGATGATGAGTTGGACACTAGAATGAAGAAGATTTGAAAGCAACTAAGGATATATCAAATCTGGGTTTAGAAAATAAGGTATATAAAACAGAGAAAGTGAAGAAGAAAGCTTGGGTTTGACTTTTAAGTTCTTGTAAAAGAGAAGAATGAATTGACTTCTTAAGCATAAATTTTTCTCAACTTCTCGATCTATAAATTGGGGCTGCCCGCATTTTCTAATCAATAATGGATTTTCCTACATGGAAACTTAGTTTCTGTTTCTGCCGTTTTGCTTCGTTTTCAATTTCTGAGTTGTGGTCAGTCAAATTGTGATCAAAGGGAAACGGGAATAACAGTTGTGGTCAGGCGTGTTGTGGTCAGTAAAAAGGTGTTCATTTGGAATCACACAATTAAAGCATGGATTTGTTGTTGTTAATTTCAACTTCAGTTTCTTCAGATTTTTTTTCTGTGATTTGTTAAAACAATACTTTCTTTTATCTGATTATCCATCCATGGCTTTCATGTCCACGACTTTTATGAACATCATGTCCACAATTCGCATGTCTATCTATTGCTTGTCCACACTCTACAACTAACTCCGACAAAATTTGTAAACATCATATGAGGAATCTTTAGGAGTTATAGTGTTCTCGTTTAATAGTTTCAATGTTAATCTATGAAAATTGAGATATTTTACGGGTTTCTGAGAAATAATCATCTATGATGCAACCATAAACGACACGTCCATCCACTAAGAATCCATAATGCACCTGTCCACAAGCTTTCATCCACAATCAACCTATCCACAAACTCTTGTCCATGATATTCCCCACCACAACGCAACTGCATCCATCCAAAAAATCTAAGCATAATCTTTTAAATACAAACAACAACATCCACATAAAGTCATCCATATCCATATAAAGATACAGATCTGGAAAAAACTAATCGTAAAAGAAAAAGGTTTCACAAAAATCATGAAAAAAAATCCATTGGTGTGGTAGATACATCGACGGCGGATACAAGGGTGGTGGATACGGTAGTGATGGATGCATAGACGGTGGATGGATACGATGGAGGTGGTGGTGGATATGGTGGTGGTAGATACGGTGGAGGTGGAAGACGTGAAAAATGGGAGATATGGAGGTGTGGAAGAGGAGACAGTGGATGCAATCGATGGAGTTGGGTGGCAGGTGGGTTGTGAGATAGTTGATGACGGAGGAGACTGTGGATGAGACAGAGGTTATGGTAGAGATTTTGTGGAGGAAGAGACTGTGGATGTAATCAAAGTGGATTTGTGTGGCTGGTGAGTTGTGAAATGATATGTGTAGAGTTAGGGAAGAAGGTGGTCGTAGATGGTGGAAAGAAAGAACAACAAAGATTTGACGGTGGATTAGAAAAAGTGGTTATGAAGAAGATAAGGTAGAGAATAACTATAACTATTGAATGATTTAGATATGTATTTTAAAATAATGTGGCTTATAATCAATCCCACAAATAAATATACCTAATATTAATTAATGGCTTAACTTAACCAAATAAAAGAACAAGTTCCATCCGTAACTAGAATTATTTTCTCTTTCACAAAAAAAGAATAGGGTCATTTCTGTTTTAAAAAGACAGCTGTAAAAAAAAAGTGCCTCAAAACCACGATGTGTCTCTCAACGAAAACTAAACTCAAAATGTGTCTTTTACTATAACTCTATCAAAAATATTCTCTGCTAGGAACCAGAGGTCATAGTATTAGATCCTCGTATCACAATGTTTGGAAAATCTATGCTCTACAAAAAATCGACATCTGATTTGGCTGTACTTTTGGAAAATCTATGCTCTACAAAAATACATCTGATTTGGCATGAATTTTGGGTACTTAGAATGACTACGAATTTGATACAACTTCATATGAATTGTAATAATCATTACTGTAACAACCTATGCCTGGTCCATAGAAATTTTGTAGTTTTAAAAATAAAGTCTAATTGCTTAAGGCCCAAAAAGGAGAAAACCCTACGGTTCCCTTCTCTTTTCATATAAAAAGAGGTGTCTCCTCCTCCTTTTCTCTACAGTGAGAATAGAAGCGAAGCCCTGCAGAGATCCCGAGCCATCAGCCGTCAAGACCCAAGTCGCCTGAACCCTAACTTGAGTCGTCGGCTGCCGTCTCCGATTAGTCACCACCGCCGATTGTCTTCTTCCTCTTCTTCTTCATCGTTCTCCTTGTTAGTTAGATCTAAAAGGTAAGCCTCATATCTCATGTTTCCCTTTCTTCATCTCCATGGTTTGTCACTGGTTGTGTTGTTACGTTATTCTTCTTTGGATCTGGATCTGTGACATCGAGAAAGGCTAAGGTGAGGACCCGGTCGTGAACCTCTCTCATGTTGTATAATATCTCAGGGAGTTAGTCCTTGTTAAAGTTAACCTAGATCTAGTTGTTTTTTTGTGTTGATGTGAAGAAAAGTGCGTTGATTGATGATGTGAGTAAAAACCTAGAACATAATAAGATGTTAAAGAATAACCGGTTGTGTGATAAGAATGAATGATGATAAGAATGAACCTGGTTAAGATTGAATGTTTATGAGACAAGGGCGTTATGATGTCGTCAATGAGATATGAGGTTGTGTCGTAGTGTGATGCGTGCCGGTTTGGCGAGTGCTGGTTTGGCGTTCTGGTTTGGCGAGTGTTGGTTTGGCGTGCCGGTTTGGCGAGTGCCAGTTTGGCGTGCCGGTTTGGCGAGTGCTGGTTTGGCGAGTGCCGGTTTGGCGAGTGCTGGTTTGGCGAGTGCCGGTTTGGAAAGGAATGGTGAAGTCGTGTAAGGTCATGAGGTGTATGGTGATTAGCTTGAGAACTCGTGGATTAGAGAGTCTAGAGAATCTTGTTAGATGAATGCTAGGTGATATTAACTTATGACTTGTGCTTGATGTGTTATGTGATCTGAGATGAGTTTGTAGGTTCCTAGAACCTACCCTCACTGAGTAATCCCAATTACTCACCCTCCTTCTTGCACGTATAATCGAGGAGGTGCAGGAGTAGAAGTCGGGATGGTGCCATCTATTTCAGTTTTGTTTTAAGGGTTTTCACTACGTTTTCTTAAACTGTTGTTATGTTATTCGATTTTCAATGAATTTAGTTACTTGTAAGACGATTAAGATTGAAATAAAAGAAGTATTGGATTTAAGAGAAATGTTGTTATGGTTGAAAGTAGGATCCTATGGACAGGGTTGTTACAATTGGTATCAGAGCGGAGGTTAAACTCATCCGGTGCTGTCCCGGGTGGGTAGGTGTAATTTGAAGGTGTTTATATACGGGTTTCAAAAGAGTTTTCAAACGTTTTACTAAATGAGAGTTTTTCAAAAGATTAATCTAAAGTTACCATTCGGACCGAAGCTCCTCACTTACTCGACGAGGTTAGTGAACTCTTTTGTGACAAGAATCTGACACATTATTCGTTGTATCAGGAAACCACCACGGAACGCTAAGGTTGCATCGACAATGACCACCGCCCAAAGAGCAGCTCAGCGTGCCGCTAAAACTAAACCATGTTCTGAAAGTTTGAATAGAAGTTGTACCGATGTAAATCCATAATTAAGAGAAACATCAATAAGGGTTCCGAAGAGGGTCAAGTGGTTGTGGATGTTGTAGTCTTGGAGGAGTTGCAGATGTACCGAAAGGCCTCCCAAGGGCGAATGCCAGGGAATGGTGGTCCAATAGAAGTTGGAGCCGCACAACCACCAACGGGAAACACCGTGAATCAGCCACATCCACCACCGCATGTGAGAGTGCAAGGAGAAAGACCCTCATATTTGGACATGAGAAAGGCAGATGCAATTGCAGCTGATAATTGGAGGAGGCAGTTGGTCACAAACTTTGTCTCAGCAAGGTGCCCATTGGAGTTTCACAAATATTTGGCTTTCCATCATCTAAAGGATGATGCCCTAGTGTGGTGGGAAGGCATAAATGAAGACACGCAAGGACATCACGATCCGACATGGACATATTTCCTCGAAGAACTTAACAAGAAGTACTTTCCACGGGAAGCCCTTGACCAAATGGAGGGCCAGTTCCATGATATAAAACAAGGAACCCGGAGTGTGAGAGAGTATGGCGAAGAGTTTAACAGGCTGAGAAGGTGTGCGGGGCATCACATGGGAAAGCGAGAACTGGTACGTAGATTCCTGAAAGGTATGAGGATCGAGCTTAAGAATAGTTGAAATGTCCGAGAATACCAGAACATAAACGAGCTGATCGAAAAGGCATCAGAACAGGAAGCCGGGCTGGAAGAAGAACGTAAGCAAGCTAAGAGAGTGCATGTGAGAACTGTGAAGAGGAATTGGGAAATCTCAAGTGAAGAAACCGTAGTTCCACCTAAACAACTTTGTGAAAGGTGTGGAAAG